CTTTTTTTGCAATACTTACACACACGTTAGTGTGGAGAAGAAATTAATTCCACCTGAAATTAAACTTGTTTCCCCTTTTGAAATAAAATCGCGAAAAAATTGAACGTCCAAGAATTCGCTTTAACAATGCGATAAAAAACAATTAAAAAAAAAAAAAAAAAAAGAAAAGGCAAATGAAAACATTCTTGGTGCGCGCGCAAAAAGAAAAGAAAAAAAAAAATACTTTCGAGACTTGGACTGGGAAACGAGGAAATGGGTTTCGTGAAAATACAAGTAAAAAGGGCGAAATTAAAGAGAAACGGAAAATCACTGTTCCCCCGTTCGACTTCTTCCCTCTTTGCACGCGTCAACCATCGGCCGGAAATGTTCATAGACGAGCCCTTCCTTATTCCGAATGAAACGCGATGGTAAAAGGCGATTTCTTATTATTTTCGATCGCTGGAGAACACAAAACAAAACTCTTGGAAATTTCTTACCGTTGGAAAATATTTTTGCAAGATTTCTTACTTTCTTGATATCCTGGTTTCGACATTCCATTCAAATCTAATTGAATAATATCGCTTTCCAACGTTTCTACGTTCGTCCATCCGTCGTAGGTTCGATGCTCGACGTATCGAAATTCCTCCTCCTCCTCGTAAACGTTAATCGGAAAACAATGTAATATCTCTCGACGGAGAAACAAAGAAAGGGGAATAGGCGATGATGGTGGCGAGGATCACGGGGCATGGGACATATAAGCGTTGGAGATTGACAATTGGGGGAGGGGAGACGAGAAAGTTTTCCAATTTGAGGCAATTAGTTTGCACAACGCGGGGGTTTTGGATGGCATGCATCCAGATAATCGAATATGGGCCACCTGAAGTGGAATGGGCCGCGCTTTGGTCAGACCCTCGGACACCGTGACAAACCCGGGGGGAAAGAGTACTACTTACTTAGTATATGTGTTCGAAATAAGTGGAAAAGGGGGGTTTTTTTTAGTGGTAATTCCATTTTCCTCTGGACGAATCGTTCTCGTTCTCTCAACCTTTCTCTCCTCCTCTCCTCTCGTTTCTCCAATGATTATTTTCAATCGAGTTTACAAAAATTCAGCATTTAGAATCGTTTCTTCGTTGTACAACACGATTGATAAGCAAGATCAGATCGTTGCCAGTGCATTTCTTTCAATGTGGTGAAAATTAATTGACAAAAGAGATGAAGATGATATGAGAAACATAAATAGTGATATTACATTTACAATAAAAAAATAAATCTTCATAGTATATGAAGAAGTGGAAAAGAATTTTCCTATTTGCGAATAATTCGCCACTGTTGCTGTGGACAGAGGGTAAACAGACAGAGATAGATGTACGAAAAAGGTTCGTCGTATTTCACACGTGTGGACGAGGGTCGAGCACAGAAAGCTAGGTTCCTAGCAATAATTGTTCGAGCCGTGGAACCGTTCGATACGCTTAGGGCATTAAAACGTTCGCCACGGATGGAGCGCGGGATGATTTGCATATGGGGGAAAAAAGAAGAGAGGAGAGGAGGAGGAGGAGGAGGAGGAAGAAGAAAAAAGAAGAAAAAAGGACGAGTGGTCTCTCCGGTGCCGGCCGGCTGTTTCGAGGCGGAAAAAGTAATGAATATGGAAAGGGACGCGGTAATGCGGAAGATAAAGTGTTCCTCGTGGAATGAGAATTCAATTATGAGGACGTTGAGTGCTCCGAGACGAGACACTCTCGCTCGCTGAATTTTAAGCGATTTAACGATTACCGTTTCCGATCCGATATCTCATCGCGTTCCCAGATTTCCCCAGGAATTTTTATCCTCTTTTACTTCTCTTTTCCCTTCTTTTTTTTTTTTCTTTCTTTCCTTCTTCTTTCTTCGGAAGAGAAGGAGGAATGTGCTAGGCTCCGCTTTCTTTCTCTTTTTTTCAAACGAGTGTTTGAGAAAGGTTCGAGGCGATGATTTCGTGAATTATTAAGAATAAAAATGCCGAAGTATCTTTTTTAAAGGATTCTGTTCAGTTCATTTTGTAAGAAATACAGTATTGGACGAGATGTTATAATATATTGGTTAAAAATTATTTCAGATTTGCTTGTATTTATAATTATTTAAAGCGCATAACGAATTGATGTTGGTTTCAGTTAGAAAATACGTAATTCTAATAATTAATCAATGATTCTTATAATACTACTCTTAATTTTAATCATGTAATAGATTCAAATTAACAGGTTAATCGTATCTACCTCTATCGCATTTTAGCTCTTCGCGATTAAATGTTTCACGATTATATCCGAAATATCGATCCAATCCTTTTTATTTAACATTCGATCGCAAATGTAATTGCATGAAGTTGCTATGGCATTTCTTCACTATACGCAACATTCATATTAACTGATCGCGAGTTCAACCATTTAGCATTATGCGTGCAAAATTTTGAAACTTTATCTTTATTATCTGGTTGATTTTGTATGATTTTTTTAAAAAATCACGTCATGCTCGCATCCCCACTGATAGGATATTTAAATATGACGTCATTGGATTAAATTAAACGCGTTGAATTATCGAATAGTTCGAAAGAAATATTCCTCGCTCCCTTCGAAAGTTACAATTAACTTCATTGAACGCGCTCAATTTCGATTCGTTCGAGGCTGAATCGATTGATCGATCGATTCCTGGACGTCAACAAGTTCGATTGATCGATGTTCCTCGTAGCGCTTTAAACTTTCCATCGATGTGTATCGGAACTTTCTAAAGATATGCGGCCCCTAAGAAACTGGCAAATACCACGCGTTAATTCACGTCTGCCCTGCAAGAAAGATATTTCGCTTTTTACACCTCGGTTAAACCTATCTGCTCGTATCTTTCCTCTCGAATTAGTTTCGATATCGAGAAAGAGAAGGAGACGATAATTTTTGTCGATCAAATTTCCTGAGAATAGAAAATAATTTCAATCGAGAAAATATATAGATATTATTAGGAAATTATTGGGGGAAATTATCGTAATTTTGCAATTGTTACCTTCCAAATATCTGGATAATTTCTCGTGATATTTTTATTTCAATGTTTAGTAAACAGATCGTAATCGAGTTAGAAACGTTTCGATAATAGTTTGTTTCGTTGCTTTGCAGAATCCGAGGCCAGTTGGGACGAATGGTGGACCTACGACGGAATTTCAGGTAAGTCCTTAATCCACGTAAATCCTTGGGTAATTCAACTAACGGGGGAAGATTTTCAGTGTGTGTCAACTCGCGAAATCGCGAAGCATTAAGAATTCGAACGAATATATTTACACGCGCTCGAGTATGCAAAGAGGAAAGGAAAAAAGAAAAAAACAGGTAAGATGATTTTTAAGAAGAAGGGAAAATTGAATCGAATCGAATTTCCTCCCTGTGAATAATTTTCATTTTCGTTGATTTCTTGGGAAAGATCTGATCTCGAAAGGGATCCCCCATCAATTTTCCGTGTTGCCGGATAAAGTAATCGGGTGTGTAATTGCGAATCGATACCGATACCGGCCTGCTCAGAAAGAGAAATTAATCGGGACGAATTAATTTCCATTAATATTCGACGATTTCACAATCGATTGCGTCAAGTTCGTCGTTCGCCAACGTTCCGTCCTTTCGAGAACTCGACGGAATAATGAGATATCGGAAAGATTCCGCGTTAAAAATCACTCTTTCTCCGGTTGTCTACGGCAAGGGCTAATATTGAAAAAGTTCCCTGACGAGCTGATACGCTCGGACCGTATTAAGAAGATTCGATAGCGATAAATCGTGGCTCCAGACTTTTCTATGATCCTTCTTTTCTCTCTCTCTCTCTCTCTCTTCATTATCTGTTTAACGAAAAAGAGATATTAATTATTGTGTTTTAACACTCATTTTTTTTTTTTTTTTTTTTGAGATTGAAATACGCATTAAATCGTCCCACAAGTATTTTCCATTTATCCAATACTCGATCATTGGCGATTCTTTTCAAATAAATTTCTCGCCTTTCTAATCGTAAGAAATTGTTCAATTTCAATTTTATCTTTTCCCTCTTTCGTTTGTGATTTAAAAGAGTTAAATTCAATAATAAAAGCAAAGAACTGTTCATTATAATACTAATAATTATAATATATAAATAACTCTCCCTTCCGGAAAATAGAATTTTATATCCATTTTACCTCGTTCAAGATTCTTCGACTTCTTCTTCTCGATGGATCAAAAAAAAAAAAAAAAAAAAAAAAGAAAAAACGCGATTGGAAAAATATCGAGAAGCGCACGCTGGATCCAATTCCTATCATCCCTCGAAGCGAGGGAACAAGTTTCGGAATTTAGGAAGGAACCGTGATCTCTCGCCTTGCGCGGGGCGCCTAATTTTCTTAATTTTAAGTTACGAGGCCATCGAGTGGCGCCGGCACGAATTTTTTAATCTCGCCACACCGTGGAGTTTTTATTAAAAATAAGAACGGCCGCCCGATACGATCGCTCGAGTTTAGCGTTGTTCCGCCATGCGGGCCAGCTGCCACAAGAGAAACAGTGCCGTATAAAGGGGTGGGGAGGGAGGGGTTAAGACGCCATCCGCGTAGAACCTTTCTTTCGGGAAAATTTTTCGAATTTTTCTAGCCACGAACTTTTCCCCACGATAAATCTCGTCTCGATATACACAGCTCAGAAGCTTGTATACTTCGAAACACACGATGTGAAATCTTTAAGTGTTATAAAATTCGAATTGGAATAGGAAGAGAATTTTGTAGAATTTTGTATCTCGATCGTAATCGTTTCGATTATCATGCATCAATGCAATGGAAATCTTGGAATTCGAGGATTTAACATCGAATGGAATTTTGTAAAAATGAACGTTTAGAAACGTTCTTCACTTAACATTCCTACGTTGCTTCAAATTTCCAAAAAAAAAAAAAAACAAAAAGATTGTGAAAAGTGGCGTGGCACGAACGAAAGAGAAACCTAAGCCTAAAAATGGTAGTTGAATACGACCGAGCACGGGTATATAAGATAAGGCAGGGAGCCAGTGTGACTTATTACAGTCGTCGATGGGGCTCAGGAGTGGATTTTTAGGGTGCATCGAGGTCTCATATCGCGTACAGATGCCTCGACCCGTTTTTACAACCAATAACGGACTCGCCTTTCGTAGATATACACACACACACACACACATACATACCATCGTATCCTCGTCTATCCGTACGCCACGACGACGTATCCTTGATTTGGTCTCGAGGCCGGTATCGGGGAAAAATATCGTCTCCAGACACTGGCTCCTCCCCTCCACGGGATACAAGGTTGGATAGACGGAGACGGTGTTGTATAATTTGTTGCAGAGTCAATATTGTACCGGGCAAATACGACGGGCGAAGAATTGATGGAGAAGTGGCCGGGCCGTGTTGATGGGAATCAAATTGAATCGAAATTAGTCGAGACATTGCGACGTTTTAATATATTTTCTACGAATTCTCCTAGAACTCGAATAAGATCGTTGGACAGACGTGATGGATAGACCTCGGTGTATTAACACCTCGTTAGATAAATTTTATTTTCCCGCCCGATAATTTTGAATGAATTTCCACGAAGGGATGGAAAAAAGAAAACGTTCGATAGAATTATTTCCGATCTTCTAAGTAATGGTCAAGGAAGAAAAGGCAAACCAAATAGTATATTCGAAATGGGATAAATGAAAAAATCGTGTTGTTGCTGCGCTTGAAGAGCACTTTTCCGTGCAAGTGACTATTTCGAAGTGAAAATGAAATTTCTGCGCCGGCCCTCCCTTTTACGTATCCGCCAGAGACTTAATGACACACTCGTTACAAGGAGAGCGAGTAGGGTAGCGTAATCTTGCTTATCCCACGAGTACAAGGGAGTTAATTAAGAATCTCTCGTGTTGAACGACACCGATGATTTCGAGGGACGTTTATCTCGAAACGTTCCCGTCTCGGAGCAAATAACTCGAACGAGTGTGTAGCGTTTCCACGTGAAAAAGTTGTTGTTGTTTGTGCGCGTTCAATTACGATTGAAACGGTTGTCTTGGAATTTTCTTCGTTCCTCTTCGTTCTTCAAAAAGTTTTTTTCAACACGATTCAATATTTATTTTTCCAAGAAATACCATACAGAAGATACCAACACTATTCGATATTAGCGTTGTCGATTAAACAATATTAGATCGTGTCAAAGATATAAAAATATATACTCCCGATAATAAATACTCCTCCTTCGAGTGTATTTCGATGAAATTATTTCTAATTAAAATACACGATCGAAACACACGTATTCGAGAATGCATCAACGATTTCGAGGGATTCGAAGTCAACCTGTTCTCATTTCGATGAGAGAGGTCGAGGAAGACACCGCGTTAAAATAGAGAACGAATCCACGTTCCCCCCTCGTTTGTTACGCCGGACCTTGTTTCCTGAGAGAAAACAAGGTATCCCAAGGCCCATTGTGCCCGAGTCCGCTGTCGTTTCTGTATCTGTGCCGAGGCAGGGTTCGCCCTGTGCCGAGGGTCGCGCAAGGCCAACGTAGCTGCCCTTTGACCCAGACTCGTGCGTTCGACAATGCACTGGGGAAGGCAATCTGACACAAAGGGGTCGGGATTCCTTTCATTCGATTCCCCCCCCCCCCCCCCCCAACGGCCACTCGACGTGGAGTGTACAGTTGACCTTGACGAATCCAACAATCGTACCCACGTGTCGAGTATCGCGGATGAAGAAAGCATTTCCTGTGTAAATTCCTCGTGCTGGTTTCGACTGGTTTGTCGTCCCGTTCTTTCTTTCCCTTTTTTGACGATGTTTTGCATTTGAAGTTTTTTTAACTTTGTATTTCGCGAGATGACAGAGTGTATTTGTTGGATAACAAAGATCGAACATTTAGGATTCTGTGTTATAATTTTTTGAAAGAGAATCATCGTGAGAAAAGAGTGGTTCGTGTTTGAAATTCCTCGATTATTCGAGGAAAATATTTATCTATTTCTCGTCGTCGATATCACAATAAATATCCGGAGGACGGAATAAAAAGAGAGAGAGAGAGAGAAATAAAACTTCCTTCATTTAATCAAACGAACAGTGGGCGAGTGTCGCGGAGTAATTAAAAATAATTGCACATAAATAACATCGTAATGCCTCGTAATTTCACCCTTTCCAATATTGTCGTGTGGTGATTCACCAGGACGCGTCATACGTTCCCGAGTCGACGATTTCATTTCGTTTTTACCAGGTGGAAAATGTCAACATGATCGGATCCTTCGATACTTTCTTCCCTTCCTATATGAAAGAAAGAAAAAAAGAAAGAAAGAAGATAAAAAGAACCAAGTATCTGTTCGAAAAATTTTATAAATATATTTCGCAAAATATGAAACTAAGTGATTTTACAAATCACTATTTTGCACTCGATGCACGTGTAATATATATACAATTGACATTTTCTCGGTCATCTTTTTTAAATCAAACGTAGTTACGAGCGATTGATATTTATGGGGAAAAATTTGCAATATCATTCGAATTTCGATCACTGGCAATAAATTTCTGAATTTGGGGAATAAAAATGTTTCGACTCGATTTGAAAATCTATCTCGACAGAAGAATAACGAATCGTTATATTTTATTTATCGAGCAAAAGGGGAGCACCCAGGTAGCTGTGGTCAACAAGAAGAATCGATTAACAAGATCCCTTTTTATTATTTATTCGTCCCTTTTCACAACTTTCATTCTACCAGAATTTGTACAAAAATGAACAATGTCCAATTCTTATCACACGAGAATAAGAGGAATTTTAAGAAGTTTGTGGAGCAAAAGAATTCTTTCGTCACAATGGGACAATCGTTCGGCTCTCGTGTCACTACCCTTATTCATATCGAATGTGAATATCTCTTTATTTTTTCGTCCTTTCGAGACATTCCAAAGCAGTTGAATATTAAGGCTGTAAAAGGGACCTTTTGAAATTTATTAAGCGGCACCTCTTATGAAAACTTCAATGCCGGTGGAACCAGATTTTTTTTTTCATAAAAATTCGAATAAAAGGCAACGATCACGCCACTGTTATTCGACGAAACAAGTATAAATGTGCGTTGGCCTGATTTATAGGTCAAGATTGGCCGAGCTGCGACTCCATAGTGCCGCCATCTCGCTGAAGATTAATCGTATCTCCTTTCCATTATACGTAGAATACTCGTAGAATAATCGAATCGA